AGTTCTTCAAAATGGTGCTGAAGATGAAGTTGAGAAAAAAGGTGTCACTAAGTACTTTTTACGTTGGTAAATAACATAGGGATTATTATAATTCATTCCTTTCCTTCGGAGTGGAACATAGAGCTTCAGTAGCATGTCTTCATTGTACTCAATTCTCTGTTATCATCTTTAATTGGTTCCATGACTATCCACAAGCTTTCATTTCTTCATCAGATAATCTCCATTTCACTCTTGGATGCCCAAGTTGTCGCTTCCCATGCTTGTTCAACTTCATGAACTGATGTGTGGTATTATTTGATGATCTTCTCAGCCTACGTCTAATCGATATCCATTTGATTCTGCATACTTGATGAGTAATAGGTTCTTGTTGGTTAATTGTCAGATTTCCTTGTCGCCTATGTTCACCAATCTGTTCTGCAATATAGAGCGACGACAGAAACTGATGAAAGCCTGCGGAGGTTAAGTAAAAATGCTTTTGGTGACATACCATGTCTCTGAACAATGTGGAATCACTGAACTGATGTTATTCCTCGTACTGAGTGTTATGTTGTGGATCACTACAGTGATTTCAGCGTAACGAACTCCTGCCTTCCTTCCATGAACCCATCCTGACTGGCTTTGACCACTTCCACCTGTCAGTTCAGGTAAGTGAGAGACACTAATTCTTTCAGATGGCTCCCGTTAATCATGATTAGCATTTGTTGCTGTTAGATACGGCGGCCTGCTTTAATCACTGGGTTACCGGAGTTTCCATCAAAGTGCTTAAAATCTTCTGTATTTCTTATTGAACTCGTGCATATATTTAATTGGCTATCAACAAAACGCTGTACAATTCTCGAAGGAAATGAAGAAATAATATACAAATTTGGTTCTCTCTTCATATGGGATAACAATACGTCATATGATATACTTCAGATTATTATTTTACATGTAAATCCTGTATGAAGAAGAAATATTTTGAAACTAAATACCCTGAAAATTTATGCACTATGTGTTCGCATAATGTCTGAAATAAGGCATTATTATTATTATTAAATATCCACATCAGCTTTATCTTTTCTAGTGTCCACCCGAAGTTCTGTGCTCATTATTTCTTCTGTCAGCTTGTTGGTATTCCCTTGTATAAAATTGAGCCTGTGAGATATAAACCATCCGAGAAATCTTGGTCTCCTAGGCTTTTCTGGGAGTTCGACATATGCCCATCGTCTCATTGACTTTGATCTTTGGCACCATCCAGACCATTGCAGTCAGGAATATCATAAGTGTTAGTAGGCAGCTTTGCCTTGCTCCTGTCTTCAATTCCAAGGGGCCTTTATGTTTCCATCCTTAATAAATTAGAATGTGGCATCATCACATAGCTTTTGAATAAGGTTTATCAATATTTGTGGCACTGCACTTCGTAGTTTTGAAGCAGTCGCCAAATTATTTGGCAGTCAGAGCTATCGAATACTTCTCAAAGTCGATGAAGTTGAGTTAGAGAGTTAACCGCCGTTCTATACCGTGTTGTGTTGAATTTTGGTCGACAAATATCACGTTTCCGCAGAATTAAGCCCGTCTTCCACCCAGGGAATCTTTTGGTTTCTCTACGATGATTCAGATTAATGGTTTAAGCGAAGTAGACAGGAGCATGATTCCACGCCAGTTCTGGTTTAGGCTTACTTAAGTCAGCCGTCTTTGACAGTCTGATAGTGTAGTCTTTTTTCCCAGTAGGCGTATATCTTTTATTCATCCTGCATCTTGTGCAGTAGTAGAGTAAGCACGTCCACTGGCGTCTGTGGACTCGTCTTCAATGTCCTTATGGGAAATTCTATATGGTCTGGCTGCTTTCGCAGCCTTTCATAGTCTTCAAGACTTATGTATCTTGAAATAAGAACAAATTAGTTCAGCGAAGAGTCTCTTTTCGGCGAATTCATTCACTTAGCTGTACAGTCGCAAATATATATACAATTATTTTGTGTGTGTGTGTGTACATTGTCTCCAAACTCCTTCACTAACATCTAATCTTTCTAAACATGTCTATATTACGTAACCCTACTCACATCTTACCAATCTTCACCCCACTTAGTTACAACTTTGATTATTAATCACACATGTTAACTTCTTCATTATCTTGATGATATAATCAACAACCCACACTAACTGTTATTTTGATTTTGACAAACCTAATGTACACACACACAAAATAATTGTATATATATTTGCGACTGTACAGCTAAGTGAATGAATTCGCCGAAAAGAGACTCTTCGCTGAACTAATTTGTACTTATGTATCTGTCACAGGGTTGATGTTCATGGGGAGTTCTGTGCAAGTTATAAAAGACAAAAGACTTTTCGCAGCTTTGATTTCTTGTCTTTTTTGCTGGAATGAAATTTCACCACTAATTTTTACAACATTCAATCATTTGTCTCAACATGAAATATTTTAATCAGCAATAATTTGGGAAAAGAATGACAGTTGATTCCTACATAGCTTTGGATAATTACACATTAAAAGTTAATGTTACATTTTTTTCTCCATAATCTTATGGATATATTACATTCTGATAATAATTCTCAACAAGTCTCTTAATGGTTTGAATGCAGGATTGTGATTGGCAGATCTGTGATCATATGGTCTATGTTCAACTGTTCACTTGAATCTATAATCGTGTTGGGAAAGAAGATATCTTTTGCTCTACATTTGACCCAAACGTAGATTAAAAGTTATGTCGTTTGGGTTTTTTATTCGTTCATACAACACAGTGAGAACATAATTTTCACATCTTAATCTTTCTACTTGTTTCCCTTCTAAAACTATGCAACTTCTACTATTATGGCATGTGCTACTGATAAGATTTATCAGTAGTATATAAAGAGATGTTCGTCGGCATAAAAACATCGAATAGCAGGGGGGTAGACTTGATATCAGAGTAAGTAAATGATACAGCCTTGGGAGACGTGAAAGGAACCCGATAAACACAATTTGAAGGCCAGAAATAGCAGGCACAACACGGAAGATCTGTGATTTGAGGATAAGGTGTACGTAATTTATTTATATAGAGATACCGAATTTCAAGGAAATATTCCTTTGCCGAGTCTTCCACCTCCTCCCGTTACACTGCTACTATTACTAGATGAACCAGTAGTGCCTGTCAGTCAGGTGAAAACGACAAAATCTCGACAGTGCTCTTGGAACAAACAATTGCGTTTGAAAGCGAATTTGGGTCCCTAAGTCGACCGTAACTCCAAATCTAATCCTAACCTTAATCTTTCCTTAACCTAACATGAAACTAACCAGCCCTCCGGTTTAGAATTACTTCACTTCATTCAACACATTTTTTATATGAATATGGTGTTATTTACCTAGGAAGCATTGTTTCAACTACAGGCGGACGGAAATGATGAGGATATCAAGACGAGGATCTGGAAAGCAAGGCAAGCTTTCATAACTGTCAAGTCTGTGTGGAAGTCAGCAGCACTCAGCATGAAAAATAAGATCCGGATTTTCAACTCCAGTGTTAAGTCAGTGCTACTCTATACGGATCACAGACTTGGAGCGTCACGAAGGGCACTTCGAACAAACTACAGACCTTCATCAATAGCTGTCTTCGCTCAATACCCAAGATGAGATGACCAGAAAATATCAACAACAGGGATCTCTTGCAATGAGCGAACCAACCCAGCAGGATTCAACTAAGCAACAAAGATGCAGGAAGAAATGGAGGTGGATTAGCCATACTTTGAGAAAACAAACCATCAAGTGACATGACATGCCAGACTCTCTCCCTCTCGAGTGTAACCTGAATAGGCAGCGGCGAGTTGGTCGTCAGTGTGAGGGTGACATGGTGGAGGAGGTGCGAAGGGGAGATGAAAGCATGTGGGCAGACGTAGAGCCAGGTGATAAAAACGTTAGCAGAGAACCAAACGCAATGGAGACGTTTGGCTGAAGCCCTATGTTCCTCTAGGAATTAAAAGAAACAATAATAACAATATAATATACCTGGCTGCACCGCTTTGCTATAACTAAGAGTTTCAAAGTCATTGGTGCATTCAAGCCTGTTAGATATCTAAAGTTTAACTTCACTAAAATATAAAATAAACATTTTTTTAAAAATAATTTAAAATTAAAAACAAAAAAACTGAATTTCTGTGCATTTGTTCATTTAAAATCAATGCAATATTATCATCATCTTATTATCTAACTCAGTTAGGGTTCTGTGTGAATCATATCCAAATAAGGTGAATTCAAATTGGCCCACGTAATCTTTGATTCTCCTATCACATTTCAGCTAACCAATCAGAATGAAGCAAAAAAAAACAAAAACAAATTGGAAGTCTAATGCACAAAAATTAATCAATAGCTAAATGTATATATTGCCTAATTTATAGTTTCTGTTTGGCCCAGTAGGGATAAACATGAAAATTTATGCGTATATTACTACTACTACCCTTACCTGGTAGAAGAACTACTGCAAACAATTCAATGTCTGTTCCTATGTATATATATGTATGTATGTGTGTGTTGTTGTTGTAAGCACTAATGTGGGTTGGACAGAGTGGTCAGGGGGAGGGAGTTGCACTAGCCGATGGACTAGTAATTCTCTTAGGCAAAAGATACTACACAAGAGTACACAATATGGATAGATATATATGCACAATGTCTGCACAAACTACCCATCATGCTTAGTTGGAAAGTAATCTAAAAGAAATGTGTCTGTGCGTGTGCGTGTGAAATAATAGAATACATTCATTGTTAGTCAGAAAGCAAAAAGTGAAAAGGGAAATTGTCTACACATTGATTTTGTATTTCTTTATTACTAAGTCAAAAGGTGTTAGTTATACCTCATCCAAGATGGTCATAGTGACGATGACGCTATCGATGATATAACTTTTCGTTGATCACAATTTTTTCTTAGTGGAATCATATTTATTGAGAAAGACATTAATGTTACCGTTGAATGTACATACGTTCTTCTAATTCACTGACTATTACTGCTTATAATCTCAGGAAGATAATCTCAACTGACTATATTTTGTGAACATTAATTTTCATTACAATTAATACGTCTTCCATTGTTATTCGATAAATAACACTGACTGACTGTCACACACAAAATGGATGTGGCAAAAACTACTCCACAAAGAAAGTAAGTATCTTCTTGTAAATTGTTTTGTTTTAAAAAAAAACTGGATACTGAGATACTCACTTTCAATGAAATAACTGAGGATTTATAGATATAGTGCATATGGATTTATAAGTTTTACCGCTTGTTATTATTGTTATTTCTTTTAATAATAATAATAATCACTTTATTCCACAACAATAGCAATTTACAGCATGGAATTTTCAGTGTTTCTTTTACATATTGCAATGGTTTACCTCTGTTTATAATTATATAAATGTATAAAATGTTAAAATATTGATACTTAATAGGAAAAAATAAAAACCCCAACAAAATCACACCATTGCTAGGCCATAGTGAATAATAAATAAATAATATAACAAATAACTCATGCATTAATATGAATCATTACATTTTATAGTTTAGTTAATGATTTCAAAGTTGTAAAATTTCTTTTCTGATATATGTCTCTTCATACAATACTTGTGCCAAATATGGTACAGTCGAATTTTTATATTTTGTAGTACGAGCATAAATGTTTATGAAATTTCTTCTGGTCTTACCGAAGAGATACAAGGAAAAAACTGTGAATAAAGAGGATGTTCACTATCAGACAAAATAACTTTAGCTAACTGTTTACAAGAATTCGTATGCCTATTGACAACAGTGTCAGTTAGTTGAGTCAAAGGGATAGCACTGACCCTACTTACAGCCTTCAATGTTCTTCGTAGGATTATATGGTCTTTTTTGAGTAGCCCAGGGAAGAATAATGGAGAACAATAAAGAATGATGGGCAAAACACATGAATTAATAAATTGTATGAGAAGAGATTGGGTTATACCTGAGTGCCTCAACTTCTTTATGTAATATTGATATAAGAATAATCTTTATGTAATAAGTCAGACGGAAAACTTTCTTAGAAACTATAAGAATATGAGACGACCAGCAAAGGTTTGAAGAGGAACTAATGCTCGGTCATTCCTTGCATCCCGAGTAGTTGAACAGAGCCACAGCGGGACATTTTCATTCCATCCGATTCTCTGCTATCACTTCTCTACTTTCACGTGATCTTCTCGAAATAATCATGGAACCCATGTCAAAAAATGACGCCTCCTACTCGGATATCAGTCAGTCGCCTGCATGACGTGGGATTTTACTCAACGATCTCAGTGTGTGTGTGTTCAGTCTATCTCCATCTTTGATTGGCCCATTTTCAGAGTTCATTGTTGCTAATCCTTTCCGACTGGTGATCTGATCTGCGGTATCTAGTGAAGACAAGTATTGATAGAAATCTGAGGTAGTCTGTTGGAATTAATTCTAGCGGCTCGTCTATCAAGTCCCTGAACCATATAGAAGTATTGAGTGACTTGACACTAGTGCTGAAAATAATAATATAATAATAACAGCTTTGATCTGGGCAAAATAGTTTGCGTAGTGCTGAGAATTCTCTCCATCCAGGATCCTCAGTTAAAAATGGTAATCTATAGAATTTTATGTGATGCAGTACTGTTCAATCTGAAGCATATGCTAATCTCTCATAATATTTTTCCTTCGTCGCCGAGTGTTGCGCAACAGTATCAGTGAGGATATACGCTGTTACAAATCAAACTTGTCTCTCTTTTGTCCTAATACATCTGAACAGGTAGAACGGCGGGCGGTCAACTGCGACTTGAATTTCCTCAGATAGTTGATTTTGTATTATGGGTCTATAGGAATGTTTCAATCATATCTGTTGTGACGTTTGTCATGCTGTGAGCGGAAACACCTCATGATAACCTTTATCACCACTCCAAAAGTAGCCTGAAAGCCAATTAAAAATGTATATGAGTACATTTTTGCGACTAATTGACAAAACTGAATAAATTGTGATGCGTTGTGTTGAATGAAATTTCGAATAGCCTAGTAATTCAAGCCGGCCACCAATTTGGCTCCATTTCACTGTACTAATTGCTGTAGATCTCCACATTAAAATATACCCGTCGATGTGTGAATAAAAGAATGATTTTATTTTCAAGTTGTACAATCAGTTGTTTTTATGTTACATAAAAAAATTCTTCTCAGTTAACATCACTCATTAGATTTTCATCCCTGATCCACATCAGTTCGAAAGACTACGGAACAGTTATGTTGCAGAAATTTTTGGGTACTCCTCAGTAGTGCACACCTAAGTTCCCAACAAGGAATCGAAACCCCGAACCTTTAGGTTATGAAACCAAGTTCATTGACTATGCAGTCACTTGCGCTGGAATTCAGTGATACACGCATCATAAAAAAAACTCATAAGATTTTAAGGGGCTAAAATTGAAGTAGGCGAATCTCAAATTCTGTCAGACTATTAAAGAACTGAATAGGTCTGAAAAGGTTTAAATGGCGTCGAAGGAAGTTAACTGGTGGATGGTGACTAGCAGTGGAATCTAGGACGCTCACTTCGTCCTGTTTGGGACTCGTTTCTGGATGTACCTGCATTCCTCAGTGAATGATGATGTCACCACCCAGGCTCGAACCCAATGCTCAAGGATATCAACTAATACAAAATTACGATTATGGTATAACAGTAATGTAAGTGAACCTAAAATGAAGTGGAATGAGATTAACCAGAAAGAGAACATTAATTACTACAACCATAATAAATAAAAAGGTTTTTTAAATAAATATCGTCTAGATTTTTGTTTACCACAACTGTCTTAGTCAAGAATAAATATTGAAAAAAATAACCTTTTAGAATGACTGACATTAGCCATGTATAACTGGCATTAAAAGGTAATATCATGATAAGTAAAAGATTCACCTGACTGTCTGTACAGCCTAAAATTGAGGTCATTGCAAAGAAACAATATATTTTTTTCACTCGACAAATTGATGTATTTCTTTATTTATTATTGTTGAAACGAAGGCCACCTAAAAAACTAGACGTCAGCAGTCGCCTATATTGAAACGGTACTCGTCACTTACCTAATTGTTGCAAATGAATACATTTATTTGACCAAGTTAAACTTTAAGCACCAGTAAGTACCAATGGAGTGAGACCGTACCAGTGACCTTGAAACGCTCACTGAGCAGGTTAGTGGAACCTGACAAATGATGTTGTAATAATCATGAATAAAATATGGTTATTAAATGGGATATCTGTCAAGTTTCAGTTCAGGTTTAGGAAAGATTAAGTTAAGGTTTAGGCTAAGGATAGGTTAGGGTTAGGTTGACTTAACAAGAGCGACATTAGGGTTGGTTCGAGTTCAATTAAGGTTACTTTAGGGATATTTCAAAGTTAGGGTTAGGTTAAGGAAAGATTAAGGTTATTGTTAGGATTAGAATACTAGATAGTTACATACAGAGAATGTTGTTAAATCACTCTGTTGACACTCCAATCCAAAAGTGAGAGGTATTTTTGTCACACATGAGAGAAAGGTATCCTGTGTAACAGTTTCATGCCTTTTAATTAATTATTTTCATGTATATATGTATTTCATACGCAGAAATCGCCTTTATCATGTGGTTGAGGCGTTCAGGGTGATTTATTCGTTGGCACTTACTGGTCCTTAAAGTTTAATTTACCATTTATTTGTAACCCAAACAGTTACCCAAACAGTGAAGTAACCAAGTGTTCAAATCTTCATTATTCTGACATCAGATGGCTTGACAACATCAAGGAGTATAGTAGGAAATACCTCAAAAAAAGACAGGAATCGCCTTTCATTACATATTTTCTTATAGAAATCGGTCAGTAAAATTTTTTTAACTTCAGGTTTGATCACGGACTGATACTAATTTAAGAACCACTTAAAACCTGGTAGCACTGGAACCTGTTTAGTCCCAGTTTGGGATTGTTCAGCAGTACTCACCCCTGAATCCAACTTAGATCGAAGTCAAAACCTTTGGGTGACGAGGTAAGCGCTTTGAGAATTCAGCTAATGAATTGGAATCTAATGGTTTGTGGATTCTAACTTCTGTCCTCACTCCTGACGTGGTGAATCCCACTGATCAGAACACTTCACTCGAACTCCAGAAAACTTTGTCCTTTAATCAATTACCTCGTATCCTGATGGTTCAGAGTTCATTCCACAGTGGATTCATAGATGTGTGGCATTGAAGATACCCAAACTTGGACAAAACAGTCGACTAACACTCCCTGGTTTTCAGTTGTCCTCTAGCTTGAAGTTTCGCTAGCAGTGGTATTCATTTGTACAGGATGCGGGTTGCTAGCCTCATGTCCAACCTTCCCTCTTTACTAGTCTTATTAATGGCTTAGCGACGTGAAGGAGTGCGTCAGCCGGGGATCGAACACCGAATCACCTGCGTGATGGTTGGGGAGCATTTTACCGCTGTGCCATCGATGCACCTTAAGATTGAATCACAAGGAAAAAAATATATGAACTGCTTGTTATTTTGATTTTCAAATTCACAATTTACAAATTAATTCGCTATTTGAAATTTCAACACAGTTGGATGCAGGTTGTGTCCAATTACTTATGTCAATCAGTCAATGGCATATAGTATCATGTATCAATGCTTACTTCCTCAATTACCACTTATGGTATCAAGTAGATCACATACATTGTGATCTGAATAATTTTCGTTTTGTTAAAGGAAATAAGGGTGAAATTTCAAATCGAACTGTATAAGCTGCAAATGGTTTTGAAACTGTGAATTTTATTCAATGTATCCTCACTTCGCCCATGTAGCTAACCAGTATTCGATTGATCTGAATTGACTCGGCTGTCTGAGCTGAGTCAGATCGGGTACACCGCTGATGAGCTCGACTTCAAAAGAGTGAAACAACCGACAGGTGTTTAGATCGCTTCGACGTGGATACCATTAACTAGTGGTTCATACGAGTAATGTGTCCAGCTACTTATATCGAACAACTAGTAGTATATAGCACTATGTATTTTTGATTTTCTGTTGATAAATCCAGCAGATTTAATGGGTTTTACCATTATTCATATAAATGCCGTATAAACGGGTGTCTAGATATTGCTTGACCTTTAGTTCTGATGTTGTTTGTTTAATGGTGAACACCGATGAAA